GTCTACGCTTTAACGCAGTTGTCTAGTGACTTACGACAAGCACATATCCAAAAGACTCATATTTTATTGACGCCGTTCAAATAACATACACATAATATCTACGCTATGCAAAGTAGGACAGGAATGATAAATAAAACATCACCCAAATAGGTTTCGAAAGACGGTGAACGTGCACTTTAACCAATCTGGCGGTGGTGGAGGCGGAGGCTGCTCCGCGGACTATTGTGAGCACGTCAGAGTATGTACACGTGATAGTCGTAAGTAAGAATACACTCAAAAGTGTCGCTTGTACACAGTGGGGGGAATGCATTGCAATCAAATGCGGTGTGCACGAAGGCGGTAGGAAATAATGATTGCAAGGTAATTGAGTGGAATGGAAGTTACAGAAAAATCACCTCAAGGCACAAATCAGGGGGTGTGGATGAGATTGAAACTAATTGCATAAACTAGAATAAACAGCGCAGTTAAAAACGGAATGGAACCGGTTGGCGCAGCCATCTGGAAATTCATGGGAGAAAAATGCGTGTCTAAGAAATGAAGACTACGACTTAAGTTTTTCGCGAATTTGCTTGGTGAACGCGAAGGGGAGGAAGGAGATCAGGGCGAAGAGAGCAAGTGTGTAAACGGAGGCGATAGAGGTAACGCCAATGTCCGTGAGCTCCTGCAGAATTGTACCGGCTTTCACGAAAAACAATGACAGAGGAACCACACCTGAAATGAGCCAAAAGAAAGGTCATGTTAAGTTGCAAACGAAAGTGAAACGAAGCAAAGGCGCGCAAGTGTAGACGTGGATGGACAAAATGGAATAAGGGACAACAACTTCGGTTAAGTCGCATCTATGAGCTGAACTTCAAGGAGTTGAGCCCCATGTTCGTCGCCGGAAAACAGCTAGTAGCTGTTACGCAAACAGTAGTAAAACAGGAGAGTAAGGCATCGCCAACCAGGTAGGGTTACAAATCTGGCAATAGCTTTATTTGTTAAAAGGTCACAATGTAAAGCAGTCGTGCGTAGGTATTGTTCCCTGTACAAAATAAGAGGGGAACGAGGTTTTCGCACACAACAGAGACCGGGATTTTAAACCTACATACCACAAATTAAGCTGCCGCCCCACCAGTGAAGCATGATTTAAGTATGAAAGCAAGTACTACTATTATTTAACAAAAGCTCATGTCTTTTTAAAAACGCATATACCCCAAAGCGAATGCCTACATTTTATGGACGATCCTCACGAATCATTATAACACCACCGACATACCTTGGTCATAAAAATTCAGGTTTATTTAAGTAGCCATGAACCTTATTAAGGTCACGCACCCAATACTGGAAGCATGGCATGTTCTGAACTAACTGGGAAAAAAATAGCAGTCAATGCAGCACAATAAGATGGTAACACGAGTTAAAGCATTAGATCTTAGCTCTAGCCCAAATAAATACATTCGATAAAAGGAATCAGTTACTAGCCCTTTCCGCTATCTTATACGCCCAAATTTTAGGCACGGAAGACAAGGACCAGCACGAAGCAAATAATTAGTCCTAAGGCACCAATAACGTTCTTTCAGGCCACCTAACGACGTTAGTGAACAGAAATTCAAGACGTAATTCGGGCTTCATTTACAACATTGGATCCTCTCGTCGGTATCTGGCATCCATGGGCTTGGAGAACTTGCAGAAGATAGTCGTCATTAAACTCGTTATAGTATATTAGGTATAGGTAGACTGATATATTTTCTATTCCGGGGCCCGAGAGGAAACGTGGTCACAATTAGCATGAAAATATTGAGAATTCAGCCACCCCTGACTAAAACAACACGTCAAAAGCCAAAATTCCAAAAATAGATACCGGAATTTCTCGAC